ATTAGTCTCCCATCCTGGTACCCCTGAATATTAGGTGCTGTTTAACTTTGAGAACAACCCATGGGAGCTTCCGTGGTGTCCAAAAAATCCCATCATTTTTGAAAGTATACTCATGATAGAAGGGGCCTCAGGAAGAATACTTTCCAATTCTTCTGCTAACCACTTGCAGCCCCACACTAGTTGAGGCTTTGCCAAGGTTAGGGGTACGTCTGTGTGGGGTTCCCTATAATGAGGATTATACATTTTTGGGTCTATAGTGGGGTCCCGCGATTGAGGAAGATTACCAAATCTTTCCAATCTTTCTACGATTGGCCCGCAACCCTCCCCAAGCATCCAAAAAAGTTCTACGCCTCTTCAAAGTGATTTTGGGGCGCGCCAGGGTTTTGGGTTTAGCTTTTATAGGTCTTAGATTCTGAGTTTGGGAATAGGGGGCTTGTAAAACATAAGACCATTTTGGGGTCCTCATCATGGAGCGGCTCCTAGTAGTGTACCTGAAACGGCTGCATAATTTTAACAGCACACCAGCCAGGTATTCCAAGATTGCCATGCTAAGTGTTCACAGGTTGAAGAGTAAATCCCAAATCCAGAGCCCTAGGCCCTGAACCCTAAACCCTGAATCCTATAGATTGGCTACTGCCCCCTCCCAGTAACAGTCTATATTAGGGGTCCTATTAGGGGCTATATATAACCATATTATAGGTATTATCCAACTGTTACTGAGGGGGGGCAGTACTGAACCTATAGATACCGAGGACGCTTGGTCCTTTGGGTGCTGCAGCAGTCTGCTGCCTCTTCCTCATGCTGATGTTGTGCCTTGGTTGGTTTTGGGTAGGTAATGTTTAGGTATACGGTAATCCCTCCAAATACGACCCGTTTCATGGTTCCTAAAATGCAGCGTCCTTACTACAGAGGTTGCGGTTACCAAAGATCCCTGCACCTTGTTTAGGGTTTAGGGATTGGGATTGAGGGTTTAGGATATTTTTCCCGGGACCCACGCAAGGACCACTATTTTTCGAAATCCTCAGCCCCTGACGCGGCTCTCTTTAGAGGGGCGGGTCTTCAGCAGAAAGAGTAGTAGTTTTGATAGGTTCCATGTACCTGGGGGTGAACCCTAGATCCTAGACTAAACCGTAGGGTTAAGGATTAAGCCTGGGAACCCCGGGACTGGGAAGCATTTACTAAGAGGCATTTAATTACCTTACATTACAAACCCCTACAGAACATGTAGATGTAGATGCTTGGGTTTAGATGCTTCCTAGCACCCTTTACAAGGTTTTAAGCTTTGTTCTGGGCCGAGATCCATTCCATGCGTTCTTTCCACTTAGACCCGACTAAACAAACGTTGAAAGGGTATTCTTTGTGGGACCCCTCTTGGGAGTCCATTGTGGGGGTTTCCCAAAATTAGGGGTACCTTTTTGGGGGTCCCTATAATACGGACTATAGTATATTGGGGTCTATATTGGGGTCCCCTTATTTTTGGAAATTGCCTTGTAGTTCCGGGAAGCCACTAGCTTTTACTTAATTTGCTGTTCTGAATCATACTGATAAAAGTAGCAACGCTCGTCGTTGCCAAAGCCAGGCTTTCTTGTCTCTGCATTTTTGCAGCGGGATAGTCCTGCGTAGCTCAAAACCATAATCAACCATAGTTCCCCAGATGTTAGGTACACAAGGTCAGATATTACCATGTTGCACACATCCTCAGAGCCAAGCCTTGAAACCTAAACCCTCACGTCCCTACAGGCCTGACACCCAAAACTCCAAACCCCAAAACCTTATAAATATCTGTATTTCCTTATGTAGCCCCCATAAGCCCCCTGATAAGGACCCAACATGCTGAGGTTGACGCACGTTTCTCAGTTTGCAAAGGGAGGCGAGCTCCTCTCTTCAATGTGCCGCGGCTTCATTTTCCTTACTTCTGGTCGAGTAAGTCTTCAGAGTGAAGGAGTGGAATCTGGGATGAGTTACTTCCTGGCTCTTACTGTATTAGGGAATAAGGGTATATAATCCCTACAATATTCCTGTAAAACACATTCCCTCATGCCCTACTAGCCCCCATGAAGGTTATGGTTTCAAGGGTTCAGTCAATGAGGGCTCCAGGTTCAGGGACCAAGCGTTGTAAAACTGAGGGATTTAGGGATTTGGGGTTTGGGGTTTATGGATTTAGGGTCCAGTGTTCAGGGTTTGNNGGGGGGGGGGGTTGGGGTTCAGGGTGTCGAAGGGTCAGGGTTTAGGGTGTGCGGTTCGGTGCATTCAGGCATTTTGACTGGGGGCTGTTTTTCTGTGTGGGGAAAGAGGATGCATAGACTCTTCGAGGGGGCTCCTGCAGCCGCTGTTATTCATGTTTTCTAGCCCTAAGCCCTAAATCCCTAAACCTTAAACCGCGATAAGCATATTCACGGGGATAGTGGGATAGAGCACCACGCTCGACCTGCTGGAAAGAACGCACATGTTTCTACTTTGGTATGCTTGTTGGTGAAGGAAGGGACCCATGGTGGAAGAAGGATTTGCTGCCGAGTTAGGGTGTTTGTGTCTAGTCTGCGAGCGAGCCGTCCAGTGCTTTTCCTCCAAACAAACAAGGGATCCCACATGTGTAACTAGAGCTGCTGGATATTTATCTTTGTAGAGCTTCTGTCAGGTTTCCTATTTCGTTGGGGCGGGGCACAGTCTAACCCAAAACACTAAACTCTCAACCTCTGACCTTGTGGGTTTATGTGCTTCTGGATGGCGAATTAGATGCAGTCTGGCAGTCTGGTTGTTGTGCTGGATGCTAGCATGGGAGTCTGTCGAAGCAGCCTTTATATATGTAAATCGGCCATTTTGTGAATTCCCTGTTTTGAGACCCCCCCATGTTATAAATATGGCGCCCTACACCATAAACCTGGAACCCTAAACCCTGGCCCGCCCATGTTATAAACACGTGGCGCCCTAATCATAAACATTGCGCCCGATACCAGAAACCCCCCAACCCCTAAGAATCCAGATACCTGCAGATCCCTCACCACTGTAGATTCCGACAGCCCCTGAAAGGGTTTGCAATGTTTCCCACGTGTAGGTTCCATCTCCCCTACCCTGTTGGCGTGGTCTTGGTTGCAGCTGGCTTGTCCGGCCCCTTGGGCCGCAAGAGGGTGAATGTTAGGGGTTTAGGGTTTAGTGCTCGGAGTTTAGGATGTGTGGTTGAGGTTTAAGGCTCTAAACTCCTTAAAAGCGGGCTAGACAAGGTTCAGAGTTTTGGGTTCAGGGTTCAGGGTTTAAGGTACAGGGTATTGAGTTTAGTGCCGCGTCTTTTGCGAGTGTGTGCCCAGGATCCTTGACCTCAAGAAGCCAACGTCACACCCGCCAGACCACCAGGTAGACGAAATTGGCAAGCCAATTCAGAGTTTACTGTTGGAACGGGCAAGCGGAGCTAGTAGTTGAAGATTGTTTCGGCTTGGCGTTCGGGTGCGCTTGCCCCAATCTTAGCCCCTCAGGCTCAATCTAATCTTTTGAAGATATCTCGGTTCAACCTTTAAACCCTAAACCCTAAATCCTAAAAATCAGACCCAGGCGTTTCTGTGACACGCCCTCCACATAGGCAAGAAATCCGAACATAGAGTGTTTACGCCTACCTGCTTGCAACGGAACTCTTGAGGGCATTTAAAATGGAGCTAGGACATGCTAAAGTCGTTCGACATCTAACCGCATGTTGTATGCATGCATGCCCGTGTTAAATTGGGCTTCAAACCCTCAACCCTAAAGACACAAAGCTGTGAACTCAAAGAATCCAGACCCTAGACCAGGTTTCGCCCAGCTCTCTGCGTCAAGGGTGGTGACCTTCACAAACACGCTGTTGACAGCTCCTTGACGAAGATGTGGGCTTCGGCCAGAGTACTGTCGGGATTGAAGATGCCTTGAGTTTAGGATCTGGGTAGTTGGATTGGGTGGTGGAACGGGCATAGGGGTAATAAGGAATGCACGGTAGAAGTCGTATTCCGACTATTTTGATATTTCTGGATTTATGTGATCGCTTGAGAAGGCGGCGCCTGATATTGGAGGGCCCTCAAGACATGATATTTTGGGAATTAGTTGCGGTCTGCATTCATATTGATGCATTTGTGCAAGAAGCGAAGTCCCTCTTTAGCTCTTGAGCACTTGAGCTCTAAACCCTCAATCCCTCAACCCTGCATCCTTCAACGTAAATCTGACGGACGCGTTAGATGGCGTTTGCATCTGAAGGCGCCTAGGGGTTAGGTTGTATGAAGAAAGCCACTAGCGACCAATCAGCAGTCAGGATTATGACCACATGTAATGGTGTAGGGTTTCGTTCTACATGCATTGATGTTTTGTGGTATCCTGGAGTGTGTAGGCCATTCAGAGAGTTTAGATTTAGAGCTTGTGGTCGAAGGATTTCCCCTTTGCTTAGTTTCCGCTTAAAAATGAATGCCCCAATCAGAGGGGTTCAGAAAAAAGACCCATTTGGTCTTTCTGTCTGCGTTCTCTTGGATGTAGAATCCTCCTGAAGTATATAGATAGAATATGGTTTGGGGTATGTTGTAGTAAGATCCCTATATACCCCATATTCTATCTACTTAAGGGGGACTTTACCCTAAACCCCATATTCTATCTACTTGAGGGAGACTATAGGCTCGATCCATCGCAACTTGTGGCTCTAGACGTAGGGCTCAGCAGGCATAGATACTGTTGCAATCATGTGAAAGCTTCTCAAAAGACATCCCTAAGAGTCCTTCATGGAACCCCAACCCTCAACCCTAAACCCTAAACTCTAAATCCCCCTAAACCCCTTGTAATTAATCCTTGTGTAACCCCGGTGTATCCTCAGGGAGGCCGGAGGTACTTGAGGATTAATGTACTTGAAGGGGGGTAGGGGACCCTCCCCAAGTACATTACTTGGGGGATTTATAGGCACATCCTCCCTGCGCAGTCCCATCTTCTAGTAGCACCTTTGTGTGAAGGTTCAGAACTCCCCTCGCCAGTTTCCAAACATAGTTTGCGGACAGCACGTGATGTCGGGGCCCCCGGGGCCCAGTTCTGCAGCCGTGCGGCAGCGTTGGATCACGCAGTTTGGCCCACCTCCGGCGTGTCAGCGGCCCTTAGAAGAGTTGGTAGATGATGCTACTCTCCGGTGCTGGGCTTAGGGAGCTCGGGGCTCCTGGGATTAGGGTATGGGGTTACTATGGGTTCAATTGTTGGTGGTAGGCATGCTTAAGTAGGCCAGCAGCACAACAACGTTGAGGGTTTAGCTCTTTGAGCTGTAATTTTTAAAGTTTGTGCTCAGGAAGTTGGGTTTGGTACTTGGATGGGCTTACAATTCACGAGGTGCTGTCAACGCCTCACATCCGCAGCTGGGGCACGTGCCCTATTGCCCCAGGGCCAGATAGGAGAATTCTTTACCATGGATGCTTTGTAGCAATTTGCTCAAGGCTTTGTCACTTCTGAACCTTCGGGAGTTAAGTTTTTAAAGCATTGGGGTTGAAGAGTCACAAGTCTCAGATTTCGCTTGCAGCGAGCAGCTGAGGATCAGTTCCATGGTTCATTTAAGCCCATGTTGCAGCAGTGGAGCGCGCCGACAGGCGTCTTACCGGGCCTATAGGTGAAGCGGGTGAGCGAGTATAAGGACTAATGTAAGCCCATGATTAATAATCCCTTCCTTTTAGGGGCCTAAATATTAGGATCCCTATTATACTCCCTATTAAGGGGAGGGGGTTTATTTCATAAGGGGTCTACATTATTGTGAGATTAGGGTTTGGGGTTATCATAAGGGATCCCTTCTCCCATCTTTCCCTCAAATACCAACAGGCTTCTGTGGGGCAATGGCTGTGGCTGGGACAGAGCTACTCTTTGAGACTCTCATCACCGGACCTTTGGCGGCTACTGCGTTCTACTTGGAAAGCCCTTTGTACGTAAGGAATCTTACCCAGGTCCAAGAGATGGTGCAGGGGTTTAGGGTTTAGGGTTTGCCAAAAAGGCAGGGGACAGTCCTAGGTCACGGGCACGCCTCAGACTACCGACCTCGTAGCAGATCTCGCGTCAGCACCCCTCTGCTCTTTGGACTTACTGTGCCCGCGAGCTCAAGCTGTGATGAAACAGATTCACAGCTGGCGGACTGGCTACATCCAGGATCATGCTTCAGACTTCGATGCCCAAGGCGACAGAACTTCGAGCCTGCTCAAGAATGCTTTGTAGCAAGGGATCTCTCAAAACAATCAGGGAGCCTTTCTAAGGCGTTTCTGAAGGATTATCGTATTTTGGGGTCTACATCAGACCATTTGCGGAAACATCTTCTCCATCCGAGAGCCATCTTACCCTTTGCCCGGGTTCTCAGCGGAACTGTAGGTAAGCGATATCTGAGCGCCTGGTATGCGAACTACGAGCTGTCGGATGTTCTCCGCGACTTTTGTGCGCAGCAGCGAGCGTTGGGTGTGCCAGATGCTGTGCTTGACCAGATTCTGTTTCTGCGAGAGAACCAGTGGCCAGGATCGCGGGTAGAAGTTGTTTTTTGTGTTTCTCCGTTTCTGGGTCCTACAATAAGTGGGGAAGGAAGGCAGTCATACCCCATGATGACCTTAAATATTAGACCCTCAACTTTGAACTCTATGAATCCTGGATCCTACGCACCCAGAGTTTAGTGTAAAGGTGGCCAGCATACGACGATGCCGCGCACGAAGAGCGCAAGCGGCTAATGGAAGAAGAGACTTTTGGTGGACGTAAGGCGGGGTTGTCTGAAAAGATGCCGTTTGAGGGTCTAGGGTTTAGGGTTTAGGCTTTAGGGTTCAGGGTTTGCAGAGCTCTGAGTTTACGGTTTGGGGGGTCCAGGGTTTTAGGGTTTGGGGTGCGAGATTTCGGGTTTTGGTTTAGATGCAGCTTCCCTGAAGCCTGAAGACCATTCACCCTCACGTTGCGGACCTGTAACTATGCTTCTATGGAAAGGGAGTTATCAAAGCCACCGTAAACCTTAAACCCTCAAGTCCATATGAGCTTCACTCTAAACTCCTTGAGGCGGGTTATATAGGGATTATAGGGGACTACTGTAGGGGTTATTAAGGGGATACTAGGACTTTAGACTACAGCCCATGAGAACTTACAAGGTGCTCAGGGACAAAGTTTCCTTCATTCGAATATTTTAAGTTCTAGAAAAAGCACCTCCCCCCCAAACCCTGAGCAATTGTAATGAGCCCAAACCCTAAACCCGAAACTCTATACAATCCCAAAGCTGGAACCCTAGAGTCCTCTTTCTATTTCTTGGTATCCCGGGATCCTCCGATTGAGAAACCCCCACGTTGTGTTGCCAAGATGGGATGTGCTCTATCAAGCAGAAAAGGGTTAGGGTTTGAGGGTTTAGGGGTTAGGGTTTATGGGCTAGGGGTTCAGGGTTCAGGGTTCAGGGCTTGATTCTAGCAATCTCTTCGTCCCAACATCCATTATCCTCTTCCCTGAAACAATGGGCAGGCTGATCTTGGCGAGTCTCAAGGTTTAGGGTTCTTGACATGAGAAAGCCCAAAGAGCAGGGCGGATTTCGCTCAGGAAGATGGACGCCTTCCGAAAGACAGTGCTCCCCCAAAATCTTTAAAACGTAGTCCTCCTACTTGCGAGTCCCAATACGATCCTATATAAATGGTTCCCATGTAGCCCCTACAGCCCCTGTTTACATTCTGTTCTGCATGTTCTTTTCCATTTCATTCTCCAGTATTCCTAAACCCAAGCCCTATATGACCCTATGGTAGCTTAATGCAGGTGACCACTGAGGATGGGAACGAGGGGCTTCGGTTCGACCCTTCCCAGGGAGACCGCTCCGTCATTGTCGAAATCCCAAACAGAAGCTGGCTCAAAATTTGGGAGACTTGGGATTTGAATCCGGGGTTTAAGGTCTAGAGTCTCTGCTTTAGGCATAATTTCATGCTGCCTTCCCAAAATGTGTGTGGCACAGCAAGGAAAGGTGCTGCTGCGAGCAGATGAATGGGAGGCACAATATGCAGCCAGCATTGGGTTTCCAAGGATTGCCTGTCTCGACGTCGGCATCTTTGGACTCAGAAGTTAGAGGTTTTAAAGGAATCTACTTCTGTTAGCTTTTTCGCGAGGGTCTTGTAAAGCGACTGGGCCCTGAAAACTTTCCATGGACCATGCTTGGAGCCGGCCAAGGTAACCATTTCACTTGCGCCGCATTTTTCGAGGCGCCTGCAGGAGAAGGAGGTTTGTTGCCAACGACTTTGCATTTCAACACAACGAAGAGCAAGTACAGCAGCCGCCACATGCTACAGGTGAGGGGTTGTCAAAACTGTTCTGAAAACATATTCGAAGCGTTACCCTGAGGCCTAAACCCTAAACCTTTAACCTTCAACCAGACACTCCAAAAGCAACCACGATGAAAGGACTTCCCAAGGCATAGCTACAGAGGGTACTTCTAAGAGGGCTCTCCAAGGTCGCTCATTTTCTCTTTGCAATGCGGGCTCTCCCTGCATCCAGCGTTGCTGGATTGTTATGCGAAAGATCATTGATTTAGGGTGTAAGGGCTTAGGTTCAGGGTTTATGGGTTAAGGGTTTAGGCTTACATCTACTGGCGGGCTACAAGATGCTTGTGCATAACAGAGTTTAGTCATTGTGTTCAGCTTGAAATTCACCCTGAACCCTTAACCCTAATTTCAGTAACCCAGGTTGCAACAGAGCGAGTGGAGGGCCCCTCGTCAGAACCTCTGACCCGAGATGCCATCGTCATCTATGATGACTGATGGAAGCTCGCCTGTCGGAAAAGGAGAAGTTGGCGTACACAAGGTTTAGGTTGTTATTGCAATTATTGTTGTTATTATTGTTATTACTGTTATTATTGTTATTACGGTTGTTACTGTTATTACTGTTGTTACTATTAGGGTTTAGAGGAATCCGCTAAACCCGAAAGCCTGGACCTGACCTGCGTTGTTTGATGCATGTATCGTTTGCTTTCTCATGTCAAAGCAACACAGGCGGTTGCTAGTAAAGTCCTGCATGACCCTCAGTACCTTATATCATGCAATCATGCCTAGAGTTTTCCAAGCATACCGAGGGAACGTGGCATTTCTCAGTGTCAGCAGTAGTACGAGAGCATCCAATTCAGAAATATGTTCGAGAACCGTCTGCTTCAGTGACCCGCATTCTGTCCTGCCTGCAGCTGAGCGCGTAGAGGCATTTCTTGCTTCGTATGACGCCATCGCGGCCTCGAAGTAGAGACAGTCATGGTAAGTGCGTGAACGTGTGTCTTAAGACCGTCTCCCAAATAGACAGCCGCCACCCCTGACAATTCATAGACATCCCATATTACAAGTACTACCCAATGGCATTTCAGGGAGTTACTGCTCTTCGGGGGATTACATGGCGGTTCCACATGTATGACTGGGGAGTGCTAAAGTTTAGGGTGCAAGCGCAAGTAGTTCCCGCAGACAGGTACATGCCACGTTCATGGTCTCTATATGCGCTAGTCTAAAGTCCTTAAAGGGGTTATATAGGGGAGTATATAGGGGACTGTTATGGCGGGTATTAAGGGTGATGCTAGGAGTTTANNTTTAGACTATGGCTCATATGCGTTTGAAAGTCATGGGATCCATATTCTGGGGAGCCAAACAGGATCAGCCTATCACACCTGACCAGATCCTGGTCTTTTCGGAGCTCAGGTTCAGTGCCTGCTGGGACAGCCTCCTTTCCAAGATTCTACAGAGAACCTTCAAACTCCTGTGTAGGAATCTTATTATACTGTATTTCCATGACTCCCAAGGTTTGGGGCACTCATTGTGACCCTAAACCCTAAGCCCTA